GCAACTTATGCTACAACAAACAAGAAACGCTGTTGGCCGGGCCACCTCTGCAATTGCACACGAAAAACCTTTGTATATGGTTCGGTAGCTCGACCGAGATACGCCCACCTAAGGGATGATGGCAACTCCCACAAGTGGATGTAAGTTGTACATCGCTTGAACCTTTCCTGTCGTAGGGTTTCACGAGAGGTATAATTGACGCACTCAGCTGGAGCGGCAACTCTCTGCGACGAATGCCTTGTGGCACAGATGCGTTCGACAGGTGGCGTTTTTGCCAGGGACCTTCACTGCCTACCAGGGTCCTTAGTGAACGAACCCAGGTTAGAAGCAGACTAATGATCATCGAAAAACGACAATTTTTGCCAATGTCAAAGGTGAGTGATGAGTGGTGTGTCGATAGTTGTAGTGGGAATGCACTATTGAATGGCGGTATGTGGTAGGGAGACTTGTGTACCTTGGCATCTAGTAGTGACCACTGAAGTTAGAAATTTGCGGATCGAGTTACCATAGAGTAATTCGGAGAATGCTATGTGTATCTAATGCCTTAGACTGGTCGCCATTTGCATTAATGTGACTCTGCGTGTTCGGTTACTCGAGCAAGGATCTTTGTTACTTGAACAGAACCGCTAAGCTACCTGAGCTATAACGACAATGTCCTGTTATGCTAACGTTAGGAAATAACTTAGATCAGGAAGATACATTTTCTCCTACCAAAGGACTCCCGCAAGGGAAGCCGTAGAGACTTTATTTAACTAAGTGCTTAAGTTTATTTTTTGAGGCTATCTTTTTGAGTTTATCTATTAAATTCATTTATTTGCGCTAAATCCACTTAAGTAAGCCTAATTAATGTTGTCTTATGTACCAAAGCTATGTACTTGATGTTATCTTTCCGAAACTTATTCATTTATGACTAGCCATATGAGCTATTTATCTGATTTTATTTATTTAATAGCTAGGTTACCAATGGTCCGGAGACCGGACGTCTCCCCCGGACGTCAGGTACCCCAGTCGTCCGGATTTTCGGACGACATCTTTTTGACGGTAAAAAAAATAAAAAATAAAAAATCACAGTGTTGCGCATGCCCTAGAGACCCCTCAAAAAAATGTTTGGATTTTTTTGAGCATTTGGTAATAGGGTGGTATTTGGGGTGGGGGGGGAGGGTACGATGGGTTTCGGTGGGGATAAGAGGGGATTAAAATTTTTGAAGATTTTTATTATTTATTCTACTGGCCCAAATGATCTAAAAATTTGGTGGCATACACCTAATGCAAGGTGGAAGCCACATGATTTTGTTCACATTTTTTTTTTTTTTTTTTTTTYTTTTGCCCTAGGTCGGACATACCCTGTTCGTTCTGACGTCCGACCAGACGTCCGGTCGGACATCCCGGACGGTCAGGGGGGTCCCGGACGTCCGATCCAACAACCGAGTTTAATAGTCCCTTTGAATCTATTTATATAAAGCTCGTCAATCTGAATTATCCATTTACATCTATTTTATTTTGAATCTATATATACGGGTTGATATTTTGAGAAGGGGTAGAGATGTTACGCAAAATTCACGTCCGATGTGGATTCGGAGGTGAATGGAGTGACCAGCTCTTAGGGAAAATGAATTTTGCAAGAAATGGTCAATGTGTGAAATCTACCCTAAACAAAGTTGTAATCCTAAGTTATCATTTCCCTGAAAGATGGCTTTGAGATTGTTATAATCTCGTCCAGTAAGTAGTAGTGAGACCTACGTTATAAATGTGTTTCCAGTCCACAGTGGGGCGTTGGCGTTTGACCCTTTATGGTAAAATGACAACATTACTACTGAGTAAGAGAAAAGTGTTTGAAACTTGTAAGACCATGGCCTATAAGAGAAGCAACTACTTCGTGATACAGAGAGGCAGGGGATGAATCCCCAACTATTTTTGTGTCAAGTGCGTTCATCTGCACGCAAAGGGACAAACCATCCCGAAGCGTGTATGTTGAGGTTGTTTACTCACATTATGACTTTTTCCTCAGTAATGTGGACGTAATTACGGTTAGGTACATGCATGTCAAGCCGTAATTAAGGTCAGATGCACTTTTTTTTTAATAAATAAACTAATCTATTTTTTTCTTTCAATCTTCTTGCTTGTTTAGTTACATCGAATATTTTGAGATTCTCTTTGTCGTAAAAAAAAGTGTAAACGAATAAAAACTAATGGAGAAAGATTGACACATTGGCTTCTTCAACGGATGACTGTTGTTTTTTTAATTCCAACTATACTTTGTCATGTGTTATCTTATGAATTTCTGTTAGTTGAGGGAGAGCACGACTTTGAAATAACAATTTTGTAGTTTGACTATAACCACTATTTTCAGAAGGTACCAAAGGTGATATTTCCTGCAGTACACTAGCCTTCCATACACCTACTTTTATTTGTTTACTACTTGTTTTAGTTTATATATATTACAGAAGTGTACGGCAAACACACGACAATCATAGAGTGTTTTTGTGTTTTTATTTATTATTCATGTAATTTTCATCAAGGTAATTGTAGATTTGTCGTATATGAAGTTGTACCATAGGTACTTTCACTGCAAAAGATGCAAAGAAAGCAATCCATAGCAATATTTGACGTGGCTCCCTAAATTTTGTTGTTAATAAGATTTGTAAATCGGTGGTTCCCGTTTCAAACAAAATCAATAAAATAGGTAAAAGCATGGAAACGGATTCAAGTATAGTATATAAAAAAAAAAGTTTATTAGCAACTCACTCGGGTTAATTCACAATTTTTCTATATCTTTGTGATTGTTTTTGGTTGTGGTAGTGTTGAAAAACAAACCCCACCAGGGAAAATGTCAAGTGGTTCAAGGCAGAATAGTTTGGTAGGTTAGAACAACAGAATCATAATTCGCATGTCGGGGGTTCAAATCCCTCTTCCGCCAGTCCTCTATGTCTTATGAAACTCGTTTGGAAAAGCAAAGCAAAATAACACAAAAATGATTCGGAAACGAAGCTGAATGAAAAACAGTTGCCGGAAAGAAAAACCACTCAAACAATTAACTTTTAGTTTAAAAAAGGCGTCCGTTGAATGAAATTCGACATGTCGTATCACCCTTTTCCATAGAGGCTCCCGCGCAAAATGATTGAAGTAAAGAATTAACTTTCAACGTAACACTTTGTTGACGGGTAGGGTAGAAAGAATCGAATATGATCCAAATCGTTCCTCTTGGATTGCCCTAGTACGCTGATATTCTGGATCTACCCAACCCCAACATCAAACAACATCGACAAGATAACGTGGTGGTGGTTGAAACAGGGTTGAAAACTCGATTCGTTTGTTTGAAACATGAACTGAAAGAAAAAAAGAAAATTGGAGATGAATTCAATTTTGGAGTTAAACTTGATTGGTATAATAGGCATAAAAGCATGATTGGTACCACAAAGTTTACTACATTGGTCATAGTAAACTCCCTCTCGTTTGATAAAGATGGGTTCTTCCCAGCTATGTAACACCCGCGGACGCGTCCGAGGGGTCGAGCTCGGATCGCAGACCCAAATGGGTCCTTATCCACGGCCTACCTGGTCCGCACCGCGGACCCGATTTTATACGAATTTTCCTGAATTAAATAATAGATTAAAAAAAACAAATATATGGGGTTGTAGGGAATTTTAAGCCCTACAACCTTATGTTTTTTTTTTTTGAATCCGACTTTGTTTAGGATTTTTAAAAAATCAAAAACGAAATTGGATTTAAAGAAAATTAAAAAAACAAATATAAAGAAAAGCAGGATTTTTTTTGGTCATTTTTTGCCATGAGATATATGGTCCGTGAGTTTACCTGTATTTTTTCAGAAATGAATTTATGTATTTTGCAGGAGTATGAAGTGTTTTGAAAAAATGCAGATGCAAAATTAAAAAAAAAAAAAAAAA